ACCAGGGCAGAACACCCATGTAATCCTTAGGAGGTGGCTATTTGCAATGGAAGCTCCCCAGTCACTGTAGAGCCACCCACTCACAGCAAAGGATATTATTCTGCTGTTATCCAAGTTGAGTTCCCTTAGTGAATTAGTCACTGGTGGGAGCAAAAAGCGCGTGTAGATAATAAAGTCCCTACTGAAGTGCTGATTACACCTTATCCACAGATTTCTCAGGTGATTTAGAGGAATCACAGGGTAAAGAAGGCAGGCAAAGGAAAAGTTGGAGGCATCAATATCTAGCAACTTTAGAGATTTGGCGATGCTGGAAAATGCGAATCTTCTAAAATCGATCCTGTACTCTCCTATAATTATTAGACTTGTAATTTTGACTTGGGGTGGGAAATCTCCTGCATGCACGTACGGAAGGTTTGGAACGTGTAAATGTATGTGTATTGGGCTCGAGCCGAGCTTGAGCAACTCAGACCGTGGGATTCGCTGGCCCGCATAATTGAAGCAGGATGCGGCCATATACGAATGGTGCCATGTGCACTTGCACTTGTTCATACAAGCTGGGAAAGCAGGATTTGCTAAGGTGGCTTGAACTAGAAGAAATGCATAGAGAACGAAATGGCTGCTTCCGGTAATATTTTTCATTCTATTTTTTCCCTCAAAATAAATTTCAGTTTAGAAATTAGATGTTTGCTAGGTTCTATATGGTTTTAACCTGTGATTTCGATGGTGGGGAAATGAGAGCTCATTGTTGTCTCTAGCAGACCGACAGACCGGAAGTTGAAAGGTTGACAGGTGCGCTTTGCCGAATCCAGGCGCCACGCTCTTTGACATTGTCTCTGGAGAATAGATTGTCCACAGAGGACATGCAGGCTGAGACCTGCAAGCGAACGGAAACAATAACGATAGCAATTGTTATTTCTGTAATTGTGTTCGGTTAGCCGACGCCTGTAATATAAGCCTCTCCACCATGCAGTGTACCCAAGTGAAAATTACTCAGTGTTTTGAGCTTTTTACTCTAATCTTTGCCCCAAAAGTCGAGTCTGTCCGTGAATGGTCTCGATATGAATCATGGTAGGTCTGGGCGTTTTAGGTAAACCAACAATGTGCACTGGGAAAGTGCACGTGAGCGTGACAGAGCGTCGACTTCCTGTCAAAGTCCTGCCATTTTTCTGCTAAGTAGTGTTGACACATAAAAGGAAATTTATATATATTTGTGTTCAGCATTCTTTCCTCTTTCGAAATATTTCATTCTGCTTTTTAAGAATATTTATACGGAGGGCAAGTTTAATTAGTAATATTGTGGGAAAATGACTACAGGGTTCACGGGTGGATCGTCACGCTCGGCGAGTTTGGTCACGAAGATGTTCGGAGAGGCCAGACTTAACGGAAATGACCGAATTTTTATACCATAAAAGAGGGAAGGTCACCCTCTTTATGTTAATGTCAATTGTGAGTGATTATAGCAACCTTTATTATAAGTTCAAAATACTACTAATGAATAAGCTTGAGCATGCTAGACCTCGTGACACGATTCGTTCAGCCCTACTCTCCCAACCAGCCTTAACTGAGTGATTTAATCACATTTCTCATCCTCCTGCCCTCTCTTCTTTCTCTCTCTCTTCCACCCCCACCCCCTCTCT